TTCTCGGTGCGGGCCCCGACGAGGCGTGGGGCCACAGCCAATTCGTCACGCAAGCAACCCCGCCCACAGGCTGCGGCCCGGGGCCGACCGCCAGTCAGGCGCGCGCACCGGCGTCCGCCCACCCACCGTCCCGCACAGGCCCCGCCGCAACGCGAGCGTCTCGGTCGGGACGGAAATGAGAAGGTGCGGGTGCGGGGCGTCCGTGGGACCCTCCTCCTGAAGCCAGTTACCTGGGTGGGCTGCCTGGCGGAGGGACCCGGGCCGGGCCGCCTCACACCCGCGGCGGCGGCGGCGGCGGCAGACCCACGCGCGCCCCCCTCCAAGGAGGAGAGGGGCGGAGCCTGTCTCGGATTGGTCGATGTGCCGTGATGGACAACCTGCCTGTCCCGCCTCCTGCAGGCGGCTTTTGCGTTGGCTGGACCCTCCGGCGTCTGTCCAGCCCCTGAGGCCGGTGTGGCCGGGTAGGATCCCCTCGTTCCGAAAGCCCTCACCTCCCGGGTGTCCCCAGAGCTCCCTGTCGTCCGGGCGGGCTGCCCGCCCGCCCTTCTTTGCACGCTTTCCGCAGGTACCCGTCTCAGCTTTGGTGTTTAGGTCTTGTTTTCCACCTCCCTCTGTTGCCTCAGAAACTTCCCTTCTTAGGTCTGAAAGGCCATCTGACCTTTCCTATAACTTGGTGTTCCACGCAAACCTAGGTGACTCCAAACCTGGACCACTCCGCCCAGTGCACACCCCCATTTAACTCCTGTCCTCCTCAAATGGCTCCTCCCACGGTTTTCATGTTCTCACCTCAACAAGGCCTCACATTCTGCAGGGAGACCTGCTTTTCTCTGCCTTTCCCCAGCTCCACGCAACGAGGCCAGTGCACTCTACCCACACAAGTCCAAGACTCAACACTTCCCCAGACTATTCATCCTTCTAGATCTCGCCTGCATCTGTGCTCCAAACTTTACTCTCGAAAATACAATGAAATCATCCTGCAACTACATGCATGAAATCCAACTGCACCTAAAATTACTTGGCTTTGGAGTTCCATGAGGCCCGATTGCTGCCTAACTCTTCCACTCCACCTCTCACTACTGATCCTTCCTCTCCATTGTCTAGCTGTAAGCCTTTTTTTTTTTGGTGGTAATTGAATAGTCCATATCTTTGTTTATCTGAAGCCATTACCCAAACTGAGGACACTTATAGTGATGGTGGAACCTTTCTAACCAGGCAACAGAAGAAAACATATTGCATTTCATAGGTGACAGGCCTCAAGGACAGCATCCAGCTGAAGCCAGAGAAAGGTCCAGGTTTCTCAAGATTAGAACTTGTGACTATAGAAGTATGCATGTTCAGGCAACCCCACCCAGCTGGACAGTGGCTCTTCTGGGTGGGAGAAACCTCTGATTTTGCCCTTCTCTAATGGTAACTGTGTGTATGTAGTATGTGTTTGTTTCACTCAGCATAGCCCCCAAGAAACAGCATTGAGTATGATATTCAGTGCCTTTGTCCAACGGGTGGAAAAGGTAGCTGAGATGGACTGCCACCTAGTGGCAGGCCTTTAAAATATGTGTGGGAGGGGTGGGTGAGAGGACTAAAAGTTGACCCAACACCAGGTCCTAAGCTTTAAGGTTTGCACATGTGGTCATACCTGAGCCTCATAATTACCCTAAAATGGGGGACGACAGTCTCCAATTTACAGATGGGGAAAAAAGAGGCTTAGAGAAGATCAATGACTGTCCCAAGGCCACATAACTAACAAGTGGAATCTGAACCCAAATTTGTTTGAATCTGTGTGTTTCTACCTCTGGACAGAGTCACTGATTTAGGTAAATTCTGGTGGTCAGGAATGAGCCAATGAGCAATGAAGCTAATCAGCGTAGGTGGAGGTGGGGGAGGCAAGATGTGCCCAGGGATGGCCCGAAAACCCAGACGGAATGAGAGTGCTGAGGATAGCGTAGGCTGGCTTAACGTGAGGTAGCCTCTGTTGCATAAAGATGATTGTGGTGAGGAAGATGTGGAAGAGCAGGTCTTTGCAACAAAACATAGTAAGAGACCTACTATAGGTGAGGTAGACAAGGAAGACTTCTTTAGGTCTTAGGACTCCAGAGAGGCCTTAAAAGATATGAGCAGCTGGCCAGGTGAGTTACTATGGGTGGGTTGGAGGGACATTCTTTCCAGGCAAGGTTAATGGCATATACAAGGTCCCTGAGGTCAGAAAAAGATATCCCACTTTAGGGATATAAAATGCTGGAGTTTAGCCTGTAAGGAGGGGTGTGGGGAAGGTAATTAGTCAGAGAAGGCAAATGGGACTGCATGGGGCCCTTCCTGCCTGCCTGATCTTGTCCATATTCCCAGGAGGCACCATTCTAAGTGTTACCGTTCTTGTTGTATCTTTGCCAATCCTGGCAGCCTGCAGGCACTTCTAAAATCTGTTTCTCTCTTTTCTGAGAGTTTCTCAGCGTGCAGCCCAAACTTCTTTTTGCTCTCCCCTCTGGGACTAGCTTCCATAATCTAGGAACTGGGCCCATAATCAGGAAGTAGGGCCATATTTCCTTTAGGACTTCCAGGCCAACATCCCAGGCCTCAGGTACCTCCTTCCACAAAGGACAGCTGGGAAAGCAGGGCACACACAGGGTGTGGCTGATGTGGGCTTACCCCAGCTCAGCATATAGATGGGTGTGTAGGCGTTATTGGCAAGGTGCAGCTGTGCTGTCTTGAGAGTTGTAGCCCAGCACCCACACAGGTCTACACCAGTGACATCGCCCAGGCTAGCCCTGCTTGGGCCTATTTCTGGGAACATTCCTGCTTTAGCATGCCCTAGCTTATACTATGCCTGTGCCTAGCTCAGTCCAACTGCCAACCACTCTGGCCTATTTAATAACTTTTTTTTTGGGGGGGGGAAGGTTGGTCATGGGGCTTGAACTCTGGCTTGAACTCTAGCTCGAGGCTAGCGCTCTACCACTTGAGCCACAGCTCCACTTCCGGTTTTCTGGTGGTTTATTGGAGATTAAGAGTCTCACGGACTTTCCTGCCTGGGCTGGCTTTGAACTGGGATGCTCAGATCTCAGCCTCCTGAGGATTACAGGTGTGAGCCCCTGGTGCCTGGCTCTATGTTTAATAATTTCTTAAGAGCAGTGGCTGGCATACTGCAATGATGATATAACTGCTTTATCCACATCGGCTTATTTCTTCCTCATTACAGCTCTAAAAGTATTCTCTATTATTCTCACCTAAGTGAAGTGCCTGCCGGGCATACTGGCACTTGACTCTACTCCCACCACTCGGTAGCCTGAGGAAGATGGAGAGTTCCAGGCCAGGATGGGGCTACATAGGTAGATCCAGTTTCCAGAAACAAATGAAAACGAGATGTATTAAGGTCACACAGTTAATAGGTGACAGAGACAGGATTTAAATACATAAGTCTGCTGCAGTCCATGCTACATTGCCCCCCATGTATGTATGAACCCTTTATTCCATATCCTCACTCCTTTCTGACATACCTCTAACCTAATGTGTTTCCTGTTTTGAGTTTTTCTTGTGCTGTCAAGGTTGGATTCTTTGGGACACAGACTGTGGATGGGTGGGCAGTATGTCTGTTCTGGAGTACTCCTGAGACCCAGCGCTGTGGACAGGATGACAGGAAGGAAATGAGGAGTGGGCACAGGAGATTTCATCTATAATGCAGGCGGATGACCAACTCAGCCAAATCCTGGGGGAACTCTCTGGCTAGCTGTGTAGGGGTGGGAAGGAGAGTAGGGGTGGGAGGGTCAGGAGGAAGGAAGGGAGGACAACTAGCGAAAGGTTTTCTGTTGACAGTTCCACCAACAGTTGGGGGAGAAGTCCTTTCTTGAATGAGGAATTAGGTGTGCCACATTGCTCTTGTTTAGCATAAATGCATCCCCCCCCCCACAGCCCTTTAAAGAAAATTCAGAGTAACTAAAAACAAAGAACAAAAACACTGTACTGCAGAAATGGAATGAAATTATACAAAGGAGACCATAATAATATGGCCCCTATGGGTTTATGTAGCTGCTGAGATTGAGAATCACATGTACTGAGTTTCCAGGTAGCCAAAGCAGTAACTTTCTATTCTGACAACTGATCGCTTATAGAAAATCTTCTGGAGGATTAGAGAATTTCTCTCACCTAGGTTAACAGAGAATGTTGTCAACAGATTAATAATACATGCTAACATAGTTTTCATTTAAAACCATAATTCAGTGAGGAACAATCAGAAAGAAAGTCTTATTTGTAGACTTGCAGTATCCTCCCCCCCCTTTTTTTTTTTAACATTGCTGTTTTCTCCTTAGTCTGTCGTGTTACCTGTCTGAGCAGCTCCTCAGCTCACAGCCAGTATTTCCTAACTGTTTACCTCAAGGTACCTTGAACTCCACCCCAACCTGCCATTTAGGCACCTGGCTTCTGGCCCCCAAATATGTCTATCGCTCTAACTTAGTCACTGGGCCTCAAACTCAGAGTTCATGTCTTCCTGCTTGCCTCCTCACTTGTGGTAATCAGTTCCTCTAGAGCCTTATGTTTTCTCACCCCAGGTAAAATCACATCTGGCCCAGCCACTCCCCTGGGCTCTGCTCTCTCACAGACCTTTGCTACCTCCCTGTTGATTGGCCCCAGAGATGCTCTCTCCACCTTGGGAGAGTATACT